CTTGAGCAGAAGCTGGCAGAGGTCAAAGAGCTCTACAGGCTGAAGTATGGTGATGAAGTTGACGACCAGGACATAGTGACATAGGGTTTGACATTTCCAACATAGGTGTCAGGCGTGCGACTTCCAGCCATCTTAGTGCGGTAAGGTGATGTTGCAGTTCGTTTTGGGCATTTATTGAAGACTTAGTGCTTTCGGCCCAAACAGTGTACTGTTGGAGTTCTCTCTTAGATCTCTTAGAAAAGAGAAGCTGGCCACAGTCTCTGGCCGCGCCGGTGAATGCTGTGTCCGGGACCCGTCCTCTTGTTGTCCTTGTCCTTGTTTTGGAGCTTGGCCGTGACTGCCAGGACCTTGTCCTCCTGTTGTCCTTTTCTTTTCCCTCTTTTCCAGCCTCTTGCTATCTTCTTGTCCTCTTCTTCTTCTGCTGGTGTCCAGCTTGGCCGCGCTGGTGAACCCTGCGTCCGCCTGCGGTCTTCTTCCAGCTTGGCGCGGCTGCTAGCCCGTCTCCAGTCTTTCTCCTTTCGAAACAATTCTAATTGAATTCTTCTTGTTACTAGTAGTAAGGCACTTGTTACTACTAGTAAGGCACTTGTTCCTAGTAGCGATGCGCTTGTTACTAGTCCTTTTTGTCCTCTCCCTGCCCTCTCCTTGTCCTTTTCTTCTCCTCCAGTTGTCCTCTTCGTGTTCGCCTCTTGAGCTCTTTTTGTCACGAAAGGTACTCACTCGCAGCCTGGTAAGGGCTACCTTGAGTTTGCTTTGCGAAGCAAAGCGGTAGCTTGATTATACAACAAATTATTTGGTGACCCCCCCCTCGCCAGCACCACTAGCATCGCCCACCATAGCATAACGTCTATTCACTGGCAGCAACAGCAATGCCGTACAATGAGGTTGCGCAACACGGCTTTTACACAATGCATGCACATCTGCGGTCTTTTCAAAGCGCGTGCAGCTCTGAAAACCACAGCTCTTAGACTTGCCAGTTTACACGCCGCAGCTTGTATGCCAGCGTTCACACACCAGAGCTCTACACAAACGAAGGTTGACGCAACACAGCCTCTATGCAAAGCCCTGTTGACACACCTCACCACACCACATGCTGTAGCAACCTCTCCTCGCGACCCACGCCACACTGGAGCGCGCATGTGACATACAACCGCATTTACACAGCGCAGGGGCAGTTCACAGCTGCCGCGACATGATTTGACATATTTTCGCAGAAAGCAGTGCTTACACGTACAGCTTCTACGCCGAGCAATGCTCACGCAGCACAGGGTTTACATAAGCCCCTTCTTG